GTGTTTCACATTTTTAATCCCGCAAGGGATTGCGCTAACAGCTTTTTAATGAAAAATGAGCCTAAGGCTTTATTTAAAAAAATCTGTAAAAATTCATGTTGGTCGATTTCGAAAAATTTATCATAACATTGTCATACCTATATTTTTACTATTACAAGAGAAGATATATTATCATAATACACCATTTGAAAGCCCGTCACGAGTACTTATATTTCATATAAAAACATTTGATTTGAGATCGTTTTTTGTTCACATAAAAGTTAATTTTTAACAAGCCTCAAAATTTATGAAACACCCTGTATGTTAATTGGATAATGTGAAAGAACGCTATCTTTTTGAACAGAAAAAAACAATAAGAAAATTCACAATGATAGAAGCGCTCACATGCAGAGCACACACATGAATGCTATCATGGATAAATTAAAAATAAATTATTTGAAGAAAATGTCTAACAATTTCTGCACATGTTGCGAGTTGTTAATAACATATTCATGATTCATCCACCACCAGTGATTAAGCTTACAAATACAATCGTGCACTACAACAAAGACAGGTAAATAGTTTTTCCTCAACAAAATAAAAGAAAAACATACCTTCAGGAATCTTCAATCGTTGAGCAACTATTTGCTCGGATACTCGACGAACGAACAATTTGAAAATATCCTAGATGATTCAAGTTACAATGAAAAGTAAGAAAAAGGATTATGTCATACCCTATTTGCAAATCTATCATAGTTTTGGTAAAATTGTAACGAATCATATCAACAATATTTTTAGGTGGTACTGAACGATATTGTAGTTCAGAAGGTGGAATATCATCCGAACGACGTATAGAAGGAGAAACTGCATTTCGATGGCGATACCTAACTAGAGAAATAATTTTTATTGATACTGCAGCTCGGAGAGCATAATATATCTCCTCTTCCTTCCGAAAAAATAGATAGAATACTGCTTTGTCAGTCTTTGTTGGTACACGACGAAATTTATAATATTTCAACTGTTGTTCAAGTTGGCCACAAAGAACACTATTCGGTATATCAGATGATGAACAATTGTTTAATACCAGTCGGTATTCCATTCTATGAAATAAATTAATCAAAAACAGTTCAATAGATCTCGATTCATGAATGCATATATGCATTTAGGTAACTTTGTAGGCAGTTTTTAAGATGCTATCAACACTATTGCGATGTATCTCTTATTTAAAAAGTGATGCTTAGTATTTAAAAACCATTAAGAGCAATCTGATGTGTGGCGACGAAAAAAGATGTAATATATTTTGGAGAAAAGCTGAATTTTAAAAATGTATCTATTGGCTTAAAAAAACTGTTGTTGATTTTTTTTCAATTGTATAAAGTAGAAGTTTTGGTATTTAGAAAGATTTCCTTCCGTTTAAAAAGAATCTCTTAACATTGACTATGAATTTTTTTTATCCCATTCACTCCACGTTTGGTATTTACAGATTTTCAGGTATGTAGATACAGTCATTTCAAAAAAATCTTCAGAATAGGAAAAAAAACATTTTTCATGTATTGAAGTCATACAACTCTGATCAATTACAATGAATAAACTAAATAAAACTAGTGAAATTTTCAATAGACGCTATAATATTATGATTATTAACGATTATAGATGCATGATTTCAAAACATGTTAAATCGATTTTTTTTCATTAGTTCTTTTTTTTTACAAAGATATTCTCTGATCTGATAACATTTGCTTTGATACCATGACTAATGAATTCATGCTGTGCAATTCTATACGCTATTTCTAGATCATTTGAGAATTTATTACAGATGTTTTTTTTTTTCATTCACCTAGTGAGATCGTTTTCTTTTTAAGCCAGAATTATTTTAAAAAGATAATGCCATAAAAGACTCATTGTCCTCAACGGATCAATAGCTTACATTCAATTAAGTTTGCTTGTTTTATGAGCGATTGTAAAAATGAAAAGATGAACAGTTAAAGAGAATAAAGCTGTTACGTTTATGATGTTGTGAAGCAGGTAACATTCGACGGCAGTAATGGTTATTGAAATAAAGAACTGACGGCAACCGTGACGATCGACAAGCGTAACGAAAACAACTGATACTAAAAATGATTGATCATTTTCTAGCTTTCAGAACTTAATTCAGAGGCAATCAGTTACAGCCAATTTTCCTAATAAGAACAGCTATCTCGGAGGTGCGAGGAATTTCATTATTCACTAAATAATCTTATATGAAAATTGAAAATTTTTTATATTTTCTAGTAGAAAAATGTTTCCTCCGTCAAGTGATGCAAAAAAACCTCAAATATCTCGAAAAATAAAAAAGCAATTAGCGGT